CTCCTGGGCTCCGGCGATCCTTCCGCCTCAGCCTTCCGAGTAGCCGGAATTACAGGCACGCGCTACCACGCCCGGCTCATTTTTTGATTTATTGTAGAGATGAGGTCTTACTGCCCAGGCGGGTCTCGAACCTGTGGGCTCAGGCAATCCACTCACCTCAGCCTCCCAAAGGCACGGGATTACAGGCTGAGCCACCGAGCCCGGCTCAGATTAAATTTAGTAGTGTATCATGTCTGCAGCCATGACATTGTGAATAGCAGACTGAAAATTAGGAGATATTCTTCAGTGGTGTAAATATGGGGACCACTAGCCTGTGTTTGTGAAGGATTGAAACATGAATAGTAGAAACTGTAAAGATTTTTTTATTCCAAGTTGGTCAGAAACCCTGGTCCTAACAGTCTTTTAGAGGAATCTGTTCCAGGTTGGAATTAGTGATGATGTGGAACAAATCTTCTCAATAATATTTGAAAGTTATCCAATCCAGCAAAGAAATTGCTCATGTCATTGATGAACAAGTAAGGCTCCAATATATGTGTCTCTATTGACTCACTTTTTTCTTATTATTTGACTTAAATGAAAATATTGGTCAAGTGTGGTGGCTCATGCCTATAATCCCAGCACTTTGGGAGGCTGAGGTGGGAGGATTGCTTGAGCCCAGAAGTTCGAGACCAGTCTGGGCAACATAGCAAGATCTCATCTCTACAAAAAAATCAAGAAAAATTAGCCTGGCCTAGTGGCACACACCTGTAGTCCCTGCTACTCAGGAGGTTGAGGTGGAAGGATCACCTGAGTCCAGGAGTTTGAGACTGCAGTGAACCATGATCATGTCACTGCACTCCAGCCTGGATGACATAGTGAGACCCCCTAACTCAAAAAAAGAAAAAAGAAAATATCAACCAAGTCCAGGCACAGTGACTCACGCCTATAATCCCAGCACTTTGGGAAGCTGAGGTGAGGAGATTGCCTGAGCCCGCAGGTTTGAGAACAGCCTGGGCAAACTGGCGAGACCTCATCTCTACAATAAATCAAAAAATTAGCCGGGCGTGGTAGTGCGCGCCTGTAGTTCCAGTTACTTGGAAGGCTGAGGTGGAAGGATCGCTTGAGTCTGGCAGGTCAAGGCTGTGGTGGCCGTGAGAGTGCCACTGCACACCAGTCTGGGTGACAGAGTGAGACTCCAACCCCCCACAAAGAAAGAAAATATCAGCCAATATTTATGTTGGAACTACACTTATTCATCAATTGTAGCTACAGATTGTTGAGGGATATAAGTGCTCAGCAAAAGTCAGTGAAAGTATTCTGTGAACCAACCGTGCTGCCCATTGAAAGAGGACTGGATTTAAAAAATGTTACATATACACAATGGAATATAACGCAGCCATAAAAAAACACAAAATTATGAACTTTGCAGCAACTTGGATGGACTTAGAGGCTATAATACTAAGTGATCTCTCACTATCACATGTCTTCACTCATAAGTGGACCTTGAACAACTATTGTTAATATTATGAGAAAGGGATTGACAGTAGTGGGAAACTACTGCCAGGGGTAGGGGGTACACTTTATCAACAAGGGTACCTGCATAACGAACATTTGTATGCCTAACCCTGAATTGTATCCCACATATTTAAAATAAAAAATGTATTAAAAAAGAGAAAGCATTCTGTAAGGATAATTGGTTATGTGAAATTTACAATAAAGACTGCTGTATAAATAAATTATTAATAAAACTGTGTGCTACACATTTTCAAGTCAATAAAATTATGCTAAATAGAAATTATATATATGCATATATATGCATACACACATTCCATCAAGAACTAGTTGAACATTTATCAGTACACTACTTCGTGAAATAGTCTTTAAAAATGTGAGTTTTTTTGGTTTTGTTTTCTGGTATATGTGTGCTTTCTTTACATTTTGTTTTGCTTTGTTTTAAAGTAGCCAATGTAAAAAGCTATAAACTCTTAAAAGTCCATTAAACGTGTTTTTACAAAAGCAATCAAAAGGTGAATTGTAAAAGTTATGGGCTAATTAAGGGTTACTAAAGAGCAATTGTATTTAAGTTCAAGCGATAGCAAGATCTGAAGCCAGCAGAAGGAAGAGGAGGCTCTTTCCTTTCACCAGGAGATAAGAAATGGCCACATTCAGAGTTGATGAGTCCAGTGCATTCTTGGCAAAACTGCCGTGGTGGGGTGCGTTCCTTCCACTGCAGCTGTGTGAGAAAGGGAATAGAGGAGTCCAGAAGAACTGGCGTGCAACTGTCTAATGAGTGCAGAGTCTAGAAAGGCAATATATCCAGCGATGTAAATATGGGGACCATTGGCCTGTGTTTGTGAAGGGTTGAAACATGAATAGTAGAAGTTGTAAAGATTTTTTTATTCCAAGTTGGCCAGAAACACTGGTCCTAACAGTCTTTTAGAGGGACCTATTCCAGACTGGAATTAGTGATGATGTGGGACAAACATTCTCAACAAGTTTGAGGTAAAGACCTTGATTAGCTATAGCAGTGATTGATACAAATGTGAATTAGTATAGAATGAACCAAATCAAGTGTGTGTCTTTCTTTAGAAATTTGATTTATAAGAATGTCTATGTCACTGCTTGATATATATTTTTAGAAAGCCTTTTTCTTTTGGGTGGGAGTTGAGGTTAGGGGTAGGAGTGAAGAATAAGATCACATCTCAGTTTTCTTAGCAGGAACAGAGATGTCACCGCACAAAGATGCTGGCCAGAGAAAGTCAGAGCTGTGGCCGACAGAGCTTCATCCTCCCAAGCCAGCAGTGTGGAGGCCACTGGAGACTTGGCTCAGAATCCAGACTCCATGACTCTCTAACTGTAGAAGGAGGAAAAGGGTAGACAGCTTCACTGAGCTTCAGTACCCTCATTTATAATACCAGGATGACAATTATTTCCTGACAGAGTTGTTGTAGGATTAAATAAGGTATTATATATAAAGATCATTCTAACATCTGTCCATCTATCTCTCTACCGATGCATGCTTGTATGTACGTCAATTATCTGCGGAAGAAACAAAATGATCTGGCAGCAACCACTGCCTCTAGAAGGGGGAGTTACATTTCACTGTGTTATCTTTTGTTCTGTCTGTGCATATATTGCTTAAATACATATAGTCTATATTGCTTTAAAATCAGATTGACAGACACATAGATGGTGTTTGAAGATGTCAGTTTTCTTCTTGGTATCTGCTCTGCTGGCTACTTACAAGGCACAGATTTTGTTGTGTGTACAATACAACTTTCTCTAAGGCTTGCCTGTAGCCTGTCCTCATTGTGGGGGGTTCAGCACCTCCTGAAGGCTGAGCCCACAAAACCAAACATTTAAAGGGATAAAAATAAACCTCTAAACATCCTAAAATGGAATATCCTATTTATTTTCTCAACCAAAGTTCTTGAATGAGCTATATGTTTTCTACAGTGTCCACACTTGGGTATGGTTCTTTGATTACATCATTCAAGCCCAATTCAGAAGCTTCATCATCTAGGAGGTCCTTCATAACTAGAATTTTAAAAACAGATAACCTTTCAAAAATTAATAATTACTAGTAGTTATTGAGAATTTGATTTAAGGCAGGCATGGTATTAGAAGCTCAACTCGTTATCTAATTCATACCATCTGTTATAATCTATATTCTATGGATGAGGAAACTTGGTATCAGAGAAGCTGAACAACTTGCCCAAGATTTTACAGCTGACAAAGTCTGTCTAATTCTGGTACTAATGCTCTTCCATTATACCTTACACCAGATGGAATCCGATCCAATCATCTTATTTTAATTAAGCAGTTACAACTGTCAGGCACTATGGAACCTGGGAATATTATGATTCATTCACGCTTTCATTCATTCAACAAATACTTCTAGAACAGTCACTGCATGCTTGCCGATGTAGGTGCTAGGAATGCAGTGATAAACTTAATATACGCAGTCCCTGCCTTTATGGAGCTTGCATTTTAGTGGGTGAACTATATAACTGGTTTGTAACTGTCACAACATGAATTAGCCACACATCTTTGTTTTTTTGCTATGAGGCAGGTGAACAGTGAAATCCTTGAGAAAGGACCCAAATGTTTTCTACACTAGAAATGAATGCTGCCTGATAGAAACATAATGTGAGTCGCTTATGTAATTTTAAATTTCCTAACAACCACATTATAAAAAGTGAAAATAAATGGGTAATATTAATTTTGATAATGCATTTTATTTAACCCAATATATCCAAATTGTCATTTCAACCTGTCACCAATGTGAAACTTACTGAGATATTTTATATTCTTTTTTTGGTGCTAAGACTTCAAAATCTGGTATGCATTTTACACTTGCAGGGACATCTCAGTTTGGATTTATCACATGTCAGATGCCCAAGAATCACATGTGGCTAGGGCCACCATACTGGACAGGATAGGGCTAGATCAGGGCTTCTTAAATGTTAGCATGGAATAGTCCAGGTTGAATGCTAAGCATTCCTGGCTTCATCACCCCCAAAGGTCAGGGGCAAGATCTCAGAATTTGCAAGAGCTTCAAGGTGGTGCTGATACTGCCAGTCCACAGACCACACTTTGGATAGCACTGCATAACAAATCACACACATGTTCCAGTGAATGTGGCAATTATAATGATGATAACAAATGGTTTTAATATTTTACCTTTAAAAAGCACTTTACATCAGCTACTAGAGAAATTCAAATTAAAACTAAAATGACTTATCACTATATACTCATCAGAATTACCAAAATGAAAAATAATAATAATAGCAAATTCCGGTGAGGATATGAGGAAACTGGATCACTTATATATTTCTGATGGAATGGAAAATTGTGTTTCTTTTAAAACTAAAAGTGAACTTACCATACTATTTCTTTTTTTTTTTTTTTGAGAAAGCAGGGTTTATTGAGAGGACAGAAAAGCTCCCACAGTGGGAGGGGACCCGAAGTGGTTGCCCACTATTTCATTCTTGAGCATGTATCCTAGAGAAATGAAAACGCATTTCATACAGAAACATGTATACAAATATTCACAGCAGCTTTTTTGGTAATAATCCCAAACTGGAAACAACTAAGTGTCCCTCAATATGTGAATGGTTAAACAAATTCGTGTAGCCATACTATGAAATACTTTTCAGCAATAAAAAGGTGTAAACTATTAATTCTTGCAATAGTTTGTGTGACTCTAAGAGAAATTATGCTGAGTGAAAAAACTCTCAAAAGGATAAGTTGTCTTTCATGATTCTTCCTACATAACATTTTTGAAACAACATAATTATAGATATGAACAAATTAGTGATTTCCAGGGGCTTGGGAGGGAAAAAAGGGAGATCATGGGTGTGGCTATAAAGGGGGAAACTGAGGGAATCTTGAGATGGTACCGTTAATCTTTATTGTAGCAGTGGCTACACAAAGCTATATATGCGATTAAGTTGTACAGAGCTCTGCACATACTCACACAAACAAATGCATGCATAACTGGTGAGAGCTAAATAAGCTCTATACATTGTATCAACGTCGATTTTCTGGTTTTGATATTGTGCTATATATTGTGTTTTGATATTGGGCAAGATATGAACATTGGGTGAAGGGTACACAGAACCTCCTTGTGTGTTTCTTTGCACCTGCCTGTACATCTGTGATTATCTTAAAATAAAAAGTTTTTTTAAAGGAGCACCTAGCATACATATCTCACTTGATCCTCACAATAATTCTGGGAAGTTAGTAGTATGGTTATTGACATTTTATAAAAAAAGAAAACCAAGGCCCAGTGGACAAACTGCTGAGGGAAGATTAGATAAAAACTGGTAAAGTCAGTATATCCTCTTTGTGAGTATTGATATATCTATATAATTAGTCATAAGTATAAAAAGACTTAGGGAGCCCAATTGTCAGAAATACAGGTGTTCTTTAGATAGCAAATTTGCAATGACTTACGATAGACTTGCAGGTTGTAGTGCTTGGTGATAGTGCTGGGATAGGTCTCTGTGTTTATGTCTGCTTTGTAGTCTCCTACATCTTCCATCCTCAGATCGCTAATGACCAGGTTGTAGTTTGGACCTAAGACATGTATACGTTTGTAATAATTTCTGTGGGTCACCAAAACTCCGGGTGCTGTTCCTGAGTCTCCTGGTGTTACAACAGCAACAGACGTTCGAGAAGTCCAAGCGATGCTTTTGACTTCTTGTGGCTTGTCGATATTTAAGGGGAAAGTGACAGACTCCCCCAGAATCCCATTCACAGTGAGGAAGTCTGCATCTCTTCCAGCTGCTTCTGGCCCTGGGGACATAGATAGAAAACTGTAGCCATCAGAAGCCATCAGACTGTTGCACTCTTTCAAGTTCCTTGTCTTCCTGCCCCTTGAGTCTCTCTGAGGAGACTCCATGAGTGCAGTTCATCCAGTTCCTTGAGGATGCCTTTTTTTTTTTTTGGTTTCTACTCCAGGTATATTTAATACGTTATGACAACAAATTTTCTAAGGGATTCTCATTCAAAAACTAAGTTTCTCAGTGAATTTCTAAGGATCCATTCTATTAAAAACATTTTTACCTAGACTTGTAGACTTAAATCTAGAAGGCGTTTAAGAGAGGAAGACCATAAACCTCCATGAAGTCTAAGATATTAGGGGTATTTCTTTCCCAAAATCATATTGCCGAAGGGTGGAAGAGCTGGAACAGGAACCTGGCAGATCTGGGCTGATGGACTCTTGGGCCATTGCTTTTCTTTTTCTGTGATCTTTGCAAAGCAAATAACGCTTTTGCCTCTTTTCCTGGAAAATAAAGGCAGAGAGCATTTTCGAAGCTCTGGAGAAAATACTCCACAGGTTGTGATTTTGGGGCTCCATTTTGTTCATTTCTATATCCCCAATCTCTAGAAGAATACCTGACACATAGATGGTGCTTAATACATATTTGTGAAATAAATTATAAGTGTAATTTACACGTGCTTCCTAGACTGTCTTGGAACAACTTCTGAACTAAGCAAAGGTCATTTATTCATGCATGCATTTGTGAATAAATGCATGTATTTATCCAGGATCAGTTTTGTTCCAGATACTATGATGGGTATTTCTATACAAAATGGTGAGTGAAAACAGTTAAAGTTACAGTTAAAAGAAGATACCATTGTTGATTAGATAATCACACAAATGGAGAGACAAAATATGTCAGTATTATGGTGCTTTGAGAGAGAAAAGCAAGGGGACTTGATCTGTTCTGGGAAGCCAGAAGACATTTTCTAGAGAAAGGTGAAGGATGAGTATTTTAAAAATATAACTTGAGGAGCAACCCCCTCGAGTCTTTTCCTACAGTGGGAGCTTCTCTGTCCTCTCAATAAATCCTGCTTTCAAAAAGATTAAAATTAAAATTATATTTATATAAAACTTGGGAAAACAAAAAGTTTGTTTTCTCTTTGTTCTCCTCTCTTCTTGTGAAGATAAACTGATTTAATACATGGTTTATAAAATAGGAGGCAATAGAATTATCAGGCATTTATTTTTCTGCTCTTCCTCCTCTTCTTCTTCATTATCGTGTCATTCTCACCAACCTCTCTTTAGTGAGAAACAGTGTTTGGGCCAGCATGGGTGATAATCAAATATGTAATAACCTATAATGACACGGGCACTGACCAAACAGCAGGGGTGTAAGCTATAGATGACTAGCCGGGCTGTAAGCTCTGAAGAGCAGGAGGTAAACTTCCCACATCAGTGACTTCAGGCTGACCCTAAAGTTTGTCCAGGGCTTGGCCTACAGAGGACAAGAATAAGGGTCGTCGAATATACAAGTCACCTTGAAGTGTCACAAAAACAAAGGGAATACTTTGATGGTGCTGTCTCACAGTGGCTACTCTTTCCCTCCAGCTCCATAACTACTGAAGGAGCCCCAGAGACTGCTGACAGAAACCTTTGTCTTTTCAGACCAACAGGGATTTTCCCTCTGGAGGAATGCTCCAGGCAAGGTCTGTTGACTTACCTAGAGTTGGCTGAGTACAGAAGATATATCAGGGCAGGGTCTGGTATGGGGGTAGATGAGTGAGGAGGAGAAAACTGGGGACTCTTATCTACAAACATTTGTTGCATGCTAACTACAGGCCAGGTGCTATGCTAGGGACACAAGGATAAACAGAACATCATTACAACTCTGAGGGACTCTCAGCACAGAGAATAAGATGTGTATACAGATGAAAAATAATACAATGTGATGAATGCTAAACGGTAAGTGCAACAGGAACAAACTAAATGGTAAGAACAACAGGAACAAACTGTTGGGGCTCTTTGAGAGAATGCTGGCTTTGGTGGCAGGTATCACAGTTTGTTCCAAATCCTTGAGCATTAACTGTCTCCAGATAAATTGTTTTCCCGGGCTGATGAGTTCTGGTAGAGAGGTGCTTGGAGGGGCCAGCCTGACTCCCTGGTTGTCCCAAGAATGGGCATGTGATCTGTGCAGTTGTACAGAACCCTGAGCTCAGAAAGACCCTGAGCTGGGCTTAATGCTGCTTTGCCACCTTGAAACTCTTAATACCTTTTGAACACGGAGACCCCCATTTTTCACTTTGTGCTGTGTCTTGCAAATTATCTAGCCAGTCCTGGTCCCAGATCTACCATGCCTCAGGCCTTCTGGAGTCAGGCCCCAGTGCCTAATACCACTTCATTCTTTGGATTCAGATCAGGTGGGAGGAGGTAGACAGGAGATAGGTTCTACAGACTCATGATTCTGGTGGGTTCTCTCACCACACCCTCAGAAATACGTGGGCAGCTTACTAAGGCTGAGAGCTTAGTATTAGGGTAGTGGAGCAGCCACAAATGGTTGTTGGTATGTGGTGCAGTTTTAGAGATGTCTCCTCTCCCCTGGCAAGTCATTCAGGAAGTGATGCTCGGTTTCAGAGGGCCATCAGGCAGTGGGGGCAGTGAGTGGGCAAAGCTGGAGGAAGTCCTGCTGCTATCTGTGGTGCTGGTATTGCTGCCGAGAATACTGTGTTTGCTGAGAAAAGGCAAAGGGTTTGCACATGCTTAAGATGAAAATTCTGCCAACTTCAAACACTCTAGATGAACTCAAGAGGCAGCTGCAAAGCCGTAGCCGGTAGAGAAAAGGCAGGAAGGCAGAAGGCGTGGGTGCAGTACTCCTCCTTGTGAGCTAGACATCCTTAACACAGCCACAAAACCTTTCTGAGTCTCAGTTTCTTCAACCACAGAATGGAAATAATAACTACAATATTTGCCCTATCTATGCGTGAGCAGCAAATGATGTAGTATGAGTAAAAGTGCTTTGTTAATCATCCGAGCAAAATTAGTGTTAATTATTTTGGGGGTTGATACTGATATTTTAACATTCATCATATCTTCTTCATCATCTTAACAATTGGTACATGCATTCTGGGACTTCCCTGGGCCATCCTTTCGATGGCCTTGGTGAAGCCAGGGCCATACTGGAGAATGTATAAAGAGCTATGTTTAAGGGTAATTCAAGAAAAATCTAGAGAGCCTGCTTTAGGTATACCTGATAAACTTTATTCTGCTCTTATAATACTTCAAGTTTTAAAAGAAGAAATTTCTATATCAATCAACCCTGATATTTACTTCTCTATATGATAAAGGGACTCGAAAATTACATTATCAATGGAGAAGGACCTCGCAAAATCAATTTCAGAGAAAGTTTGTGGCACAAAATGTCTTGAGGACTTACCATGAAATGCACTTTGCTAGTCTATGACAAAGACAGGATCTCTGCCTTTTCGGGGAATTTAATACCTGGCTGGGTAAATAAGACATATACACATATCTCTCCTTTGCAATGACAGAATCAGGTGAATGGTAGAAACAGTAATTGCCGTAGAAATTCAAAGAAGGGAATGATCACTTTGAGTTATAGTGATTAAAAAAAAAATCCCAGAGAGAGTAGAAGTTGAGGAGAATTTTGAAGGACGAATAGCATTTTACTGGATGGAAAGGGAAAGGGTGTCCCAGGTGCTCGGATCCTGAATAAAAGTTTAGAAGCAGAACTCGTGATGTTGGTTAAATGAGTATAGATTTGCATAACAGAATAGAGAGAGCTGAAGCTGGAGGTACAAATTAGGTTTAGATTTGAGACAGCCTTGAGCTTGAGGTCCGCACCACAGGAATTATGAACATTTTTGAGGATGAAGATTAAAATAATGCTTTGGAATCACTGTAATGTAGTACCGATGTGTGAAAAGAATAACAGGAAAGAAAAATTGGGCTAGAAAGAACATTCAGGGGACTATTTCAGCCATCTGAGCCTGGACTAGGGGACAATGATGGGAATGGAAAGGAAGGGTGGATTTAAGAGATAGTGCGGAAGGGGCTAGAAATAAAGGGGCAGTTAATGGAATTCGGTTGCTCAAAACATATTTTGAGGTTCTACTTTGTGTCAGCAGAAAACTGATGAAGTTTATGCTGGAAAAAATCAAAGGGAGAAGACAAATTTAGTGCTAGGAATACTGAATTTGAGATGATGGTGGATTACCTAAGCAAGCAGTGGGAAAGATGGAAGACAAGAAGAGGGAACGGGCTTGGAGTATCGTTTGGGAGGCTGTGGCAGAATCTGCTAGCTATTTTCCAATATTTGCCCTCACCTTCATATTAGTAATGGACTCCCTGATGTTTACTGGGGAATATAGAATGCGGATAGATATAGAATAACGACTATATTGTCCTGCTTTTTGGTGGTTAACTTTGATCACATGACTAAGTTCAGCTCGATAGAATGAAAGTGCAAGTGCTGTGTATGACATTCATGTCTTTAAGAAAAGAGGAATTTACTATCTTCATCTCTTCCTTTTTCCTGCAGACTGGATGGCCATGACAGTTAATCTCAGACAGACATTCTGGATCACGCGGAGGAAGCCAAGTACTGAGGAAAGGCCTGAGACCCTGATGACCTTGTGAACAACTATTCTATTAATACCAGCTGCGAACTTTCTACTCCAGACTTTTTTTTACATGTGCAGGAAATAAACTTCTTTATTTTTTAAGCCATTCTTACTTTAGTGTCTCTGATACTTATTGTCAAGCTAAAATCTGAAGTGTTTAGAAATTATCCCCGGGGACAAGGCCATGATTGAAAAAGAAGAGGATCGTTCAGGAAGTATAAGGCTGAAGTCCAAGACTGAGCCTTGTGAACAGCGCTCACATTTGTAGAAGAGGTGCTGCAGAAAGAAACTAAACAGACCAAGGGAAAGAGTCCAAGAGAGGCACCGACTGCAGACAACATCATAGAGAGAAGGAAGAATCTCAAGCAGGAGCTTGTTAACAATGTTTAATG